AATTTTATTTGAATTATAGTGTATGAAAATAACTTTCAACCCCCATAACTTTTTAAGGAGGTGAGACCGCCACAATTTTTTTATGGGGTTTTACTCAGGTGACCACCTCTATGCCGTAATAAGCAATGTCGTAAAAACCAATGTTTTTATAAGGCGGTCTAATACAATTCAGCCGGGAACCTATGATATTGGTCAATATAACCGGTATGTTGTTCTAAACGATGTCGTAGTAAACGGTTTTACTCAGGTGACCACCTCTATGCCGTAATAAGCAATGTCGTAAAAACCAATGTTTTTATAAGGCGGTCTAATACAATTCAGCCGGGACCTATGATATTGGTCAATATAACCGGTATGTTGTTCTAAACGATATCGTAGTAAACGGTTTTGACTGTAATTACTATTAAAGTACTATTTAGACTCTAATTTATCGTAAAACTTAACTTCAAAAAATATTTGGAGTCACTATTGTAATTCGTGTAAAAAAAAAGCTGAACTGAAAGAAATGCTCTGAATTTTTAAAAATGGTTAATAATGATGTCTGGCGGTACGTAGCAACGTAACCTATTATTATGCGACCTCTTTTCTATTTTTTTTTTCTTAGAATTGTTTATTAAAGGTTTATGACACAGGTTCAGCCAATAAATCACCTGGTTATTGCTTTAACGTAATAAGAAAATATTTAGGAGTCAAGCGAGTTACACTATAAAATAGTACGTCCAGGTGCAACCCGCCGTATCAGTCGCATAATCGTTAGATAACTGAGTTGATGACACTGTTCTACATTTAATAAACAAGGATAATATAACCATAACCGGTTGGTATTGCTTGATGCAATAATGACTCAACGACTGCAGTTTTCCTGCCCGATGTTCTTGCGGAATGTTTGCTAGAGAAAATAAGAAATTGTATCAACAGATTATTTTCATACGAAATATTATTCTGAAAATTCATTTTTGAATTTTCGACCCACTACAAATTCGATTCCCGGCGGGGGTGTGACAACAGCAACAATTTTTCCCTCATTAGTTTGAGGTAGTTTGTAGTGGGTTGAAAATTCAAAAATGAATTTTCAGAATAATATTTCGTATTAAACTAACTCACTTCTAAAAGATGTCTAAATTGTATGTATGATTAATTTTAAATTGAAAAACAGACGACACTCACGCTGTTAAGAACTCTATACATGGAGATTAATAGTTATCTAAAAAATGAGAAACTCGCCAGATCGAAACAATTCCATAGGTAGTCAATAGAGAGAAGACGCAGAATGTGTGGAAGAGGAAAAGAGAATTTAAGTCATGTGATAGAAGAAGGTATTAAAAGTAAAGATGAGGGTGTGAATTTAAAGATCTCTTAGGAGTAGATGGTAAAGGTGCGGCTCTATTTGGATCACCACCGAGCGGTATGGCCTAGAGGTTTAGATCATTGCTTAGCATTCGGGAGGACGCCGGTTCGATTCCGGGTCCGTCTGCCTTGGTCCAAGTTTTTCTGTGGTTTCCTTGGATCACTTAGGCAAATGCTGGGGCAGTTATATTCCACAGACAATCTTTCATTCTCTTCTGTCTTCATTTCGTGCCCGTCTCAACTTTCTCACCCGAACCACCACCCACCCACGATTCCTGAAAGCAGGCTGAAGAGGGCCACCGCCCTACCTTCCGGCGTAGTCCGGAGGGACTGCCCGCCCACCAGCATTGCTGGCTGGTGGGAATGAAACACCCAAAAGTTTTTGTTTTTTGGATCACCTAGGCAAATGCTGAGGCAGTAATATTCCACAGATAATCTTTCATTCTCTTCTGTCTTCATTTCGTTCGTCTGATCTTTCTCACCAGAACCACCACCTACCCATTTACACGATTCCTGAAAGCAGGCTGAAGAGGGCCTTCCGCCCTACCTTCCGGCGTAGTCCGGAAGGACTGCCCGCCCACCAGCATTACTGGCTGATGGGAATGAAACACCCAAAAGTATTTTTTTTTTAAGGAAAGCTATAAGAAAAGGAGTAAGAAGGCAAAAAGGGGGAAAGGGCATAATATTAAAAATAATGGAAATGGTGTTTAAACTTGAAGGGGAGGGAAAAAGCTTTAATTTCTTCAATTTCTTCCTGATCCACTCTGAAATAAGTCTTAACTTAACTGGCAATTCCTATCGCTTTCACTTCAGTAATCATTTTAAAGTTAAACAAATTAATAGAATCAGTTAGGTTTTTCTTAAATCTGAAGTTACCAGCAAGAAATTCATAAAGGTGCCACCTGTGTAGTATGAGTACATTAGAAATTGTGGATTTTTTACCGCAGTTTTGCCTTGGAAATGAATGAGAATGTAAGTTCACTTTCATTTGGGAAAGAATTAATGTCGATGAATAATCCTTTTACGATTAATACTTACATTACACATGCATTCGTTACCACAAAAAAATATTTAAAACGAGGTTGCTATTATATTAATAGAGGTTTTTCTGTGAAAAAAAAAATAGGGAATTAACACCATTATTGAGAATTCCTACATTCACCCATCTCGTATCATTTACTAAACCAATTGTTACACAAAAATTTTGAATAAATCATTTAATCAAGTTTTTAATCATACTTTTTCATAATTTCTTCCGTAATCCGACATTCAACTTATAAATTAGGAAGCCGTTATATGGTATATTATACCCTTGATAAGTGGGCAACATCACAAAGAGAGCGTATTGTGTGTTGCATAACATTCAGGTGTAAAATACTCATATTTATTGACCTTGATGTGACGCAATTTTTAGAGTCGAGCTGAATCCTGAATGTGTCAGTGTTATGTTGTTCTCATTGATTAGGTTTGAGGTTATGATTTATTCTTTTTGATGTGAAGGTTAAAAATAGTGAAAATTAACAGGAAATCATGAATTACAAAAGAAATAGAGGGCGTCGAGGACGCTCTGAAAATAACAGATTCAACACGAGTCAAAGGAGACATGAATCTCCGAGTAATTCCCAAAATCGACAACAACGCGTTCCGAGACACCCTCCTCATCTTCGAGGTAGAGAAATAGGGTTGTATTATGCCCGCAAAAAGTGGCTCAATACAGAGAATGGTGAAAATTGCGTTACATCTGGAAAGGGTGACGTGAAACTACCGCAGATCAAACCGGTAAGTAGGTACCTGATTTATTATTTAATGATCATTTATCTCAGTCCAAGCCCTGCCCCTGTTCTAATGATTAGGTTTTAACGTTTGTGTCCGCATTGTCATCTGATTGTTACTTATAAGAATGAAAAACAAAATTATAATTATAAGGCGACCACACAATTTTAAAGAATTCCTACAATTTTAAGGAATTCGACGCTCCATTCTCCATTCGTTCAGGAAAGCATTAAATATGTATGATAAGTAGGAACCCTTCTATTCTATTCTTATCTCTCAGTATCTCAAATTTAAATTTATATTTTTAATTTTTCTTATACACTTCAAAATTGAATTACAAAACGCAGAATTTATCAATTTTTGATCCCCCCTCGATACATAACGGAATCCCTCTTTCCTCCACCAGGACCTAGACTAAACTCTTGCTCCAATTAGTACTACATAATTTACGGATAGCTCCAATTCAGTTGCTGTATTACAATACTACATATCCAAACTTTAAGGACAATCCCTGTGCAGGAAAAAATGCGATCATCAAATGTAAAATAATGGCGAATCTTAGGAATTCACTACAGATAGCCCATTATTTAACTACACTTTAAATCTATTAAAATTCTGATTTTATATTAGACGGGGATATTCATTAGTGGTATATATGTGGAGCTTCAAGAATTGATCTACTGATTCGATCCATTGAATGTTCTGAGTCCACTCAGACCTCTTCTCTTCAATATATTCCCCATTTTAATACAATCTCAGACGCAACATTTCGGAATGTAACAATCGTTAAAGATTCCTGTGTTTGTTTAGAATCATCGTGCAATCATGGAAAATTAATTATTCCATTTCCATAATTTTACTCATTAACTACTGGGTTAACGTGGGAACATTTAACGATGGTTCAACATTGTCTATAATTACTATTAATTCCCTTATAGATAGGTAGAGTTGTTTTATCTGAAACCAGACAAAATTTCATTGAAAGTTCGCTAAAAAATATGGATCTCATTGGAAAAATGTTTATCACAGACGATGGCTCATACGACCACGTGTCAGAATCGTCCTTTAAGCGAAATTTTCTTAGAACAATCCATGGTAACATTGACGACAATTTGAAAGCGTTACCGCCTATGGAAAGATATCCTCATATTGATGAAGCGTTATATGAGGACCTGATGTCTCGTAAATCTGATTCTGCATACAATTATATGCTGGAAGTAAGAAAGAAACTTCCAAGCTTCGATAAAAGGGACGATATTCTCAAAATCATTGATGAAAATCAGGTAGTTGTAATCAGTGGTGAAACGGGGTGTGGAAAGACCACGCAAGTTTCACAATTTATTCTTGATGATTATATAATGAAAAAGAAAGGTTCGCTATGTCGAATTGTATGCACACAACCGAGAAGAATAAGTGCGGTACGTAACTTCATATTATCCAGATATAGCTATCTATTATTTCTTATATTTTTGAAAATTTACATTATTTAATCAGGTATCTGTAGCAGAAAGGGTTTCTGATGAAAGAGCTGAGAAATTGGGAAAGAGCGTTGGCTATCAAATTAGATTAGAGAAGTAAGTTTATAAACAACGTATGTGATAGACGTTATTTACTATACTTCAATTCAGGGAACCTCCACGCGAGCGAGGATCCATAATATTTTGTACAACCGGTGTAGTATTAAAATGGATGGAAGTAGACGCTTGTTTAAGTAATGTATCCCATCTCATAATCGACGAAATTCATGAGCGTAATGTTATGTCCGATTTTATAATCGCTCTGATGAAAAAATTAATAATCCATCGTAAAGATTTGAAATTAATTCTGATGAGTGCAACGTTAAACGCCGAAAAGTTTTCAAATTATTTTGACGGGTGTCCACATATCAACATTCCAGGATTTACATATCCCGTTGAGGAATATTATTTGGAGGACGTTCTTCAAATGACCGGGTTTGAATTTTCCGGGACAAAAGGTTAGAATCTCTAGTACTAACATTATTCAGAAGTAGGGTACATGACAGTAAAAAGACACCATGGGAAACAGGTTTGAACGAAAGCATCTGTTATGTTATATTTTGCAATAATGTGAATTTTTTAACTCACTTAAATTTTCTCTGCATGATCAACACGTTTCTTATTTCGCATTATTTCAAATTTTCATCAGAATTCATGGGATTTCGAAAACAGTCGTATACCCTATTTTGTTTCTGTTAATTTGTTTGCGTATTGAAAATTTGCATCTCCACTTTTGAAATTTAGAATTGCTGTTTGCGAAAAAAAAAAATTTAAAAGGCAGCAAACGAAAAAAGAAAAATGTAACCGAGAAAGAGAATGAATGGAATGACTTCATAGAACCGTACATACGAAATTTAGAAGCCAAAAAGCAATATTCACGTCATGTCTGCGATCAGCTAAGAAATCCTCAAAGTGAAAAAATAAATGTTGATCTCATATTGTCATTGTTAATCCACATTTGTCGAGATGACGAGAACCTCGGTGCCATACTGATCTTCTTAACGGGACTTTCGGAGATATCAGCTCTTATAAAATTAATGGAGGGTTCAAGAAAATTTCCCTCGAATCGTTTCATTGTCGTTCCTCTTCATTCCCTGTTATCAACGGTTGATCAGAAAAGGATTTTCGATAGACCTCCACCAGGTGTAAGGTATGGCTCGTTTTTAAAAATTTATTTATCTAGTTGAAGGTTAATATCGACTCCCCTTTTTAAGGAAAATAGTCGTTGCCACAAATATTGCCGAAACGTCAATTACGATTGACGATGTTGTGTTTGTAATCGATTGTGGAAAGATTAAAATGTCAAATTACAATGTCCAAACAAATACGCAAACGCTTTTACCTGAATGGGTGTCTTTAGCCAATTCCAATCAACGCAAAGGAAGAGCCGGAAGAACACAACCGGGAGTTTGTTTTCATTTATACACCAAAATTCGTAGAATCACTTTGGAAGATTTTCAACAACCTGAAGTGTTACGAAAACGTTTGGAAGATACAATTCTGACATTAAAAATGCTTAAACTTGGAAAGGCCGAGCCTTTTTTGCAGTGCCTCATGGACAGTCCTGATCCAAAGGCAGTAGAATTGTCCATTCGTCTTCTAATCCGACTTAATGCCTTGGATAATGACGAAAAATTAACACCACTGGGATACCATTTAGCTAGGCTACCAATGGCTCCACAGATGGGGAAAATGATACTGATGGGTGCTATTTTTAGTTGTTTGGATCCAATTTTGTCTATTGCAGCAACGCTGGACTTCAAAGATGGATTTGTTGCTCAGTTAGGAAAAGAAAGGGAATTAGACCGCAAAAAATTAGAATTGACAAACGGAATAAAAAACGATCATTTAGTTTGTATTGAAGCTTTGAGAAAATTTGAATCTTCCACCCATAAAAACAGATTTTGTTATGACAATTTTCTAAGTTGGAATACCATGAGATTGCTATGCAATATGAAACGGCAGTTTATGGAGTATCTCCATGAAATGAACTTTGTACCCAGTGCCGATCCTAAAAATCCTGAATGTAACGTCAACTCAGACAATACCAGTCTAATTCAAGCTGTTGTATGTTCAGGACTTTATCCGAATGTTGCCATAATGAGGTAAACATTTCAATATTTCACTTCGCTGTTTCCTACAAAATCCTTCATTGTTCTAGAAAGAAGAAATCTTCACGATACAGTTACTCCTTAAGAACGATGGAAGATCATACTTCAGTTAAATTTCATCCTAAATCCATAATGTCCATGTGCGAGGCGGAATATATTGGTACCAATGCGGTTGTGTACCATTTGAAACTGAAATCATCCCAAACATTTTTACATGACGCGTCGGTCGTTAATCCACTGTCGTTATTATTTTTTGGAGATACTTACGTCCAGAACGAAGAGGATGACAAATTTACAGTAGGGGTGGGCACAAATATAAACTTCATAACTAATCCTGGAACAGCAGCTATCATTAAGGAATTAAGGAGTAGACTTAATTGGTTTCTGGAATATAAGGCTGCTAATCCTGGTCCAGTCAATTGGAAAACGAACGAAGAGGAATCTAAATTGCTCCAGTAAGGCTTTACTTATCTAACTTTTATTTTACTGTTATAGTTTCGCTTCCTCTTTTGCAGAGCCATTATGGAACTTATCACGTCAGAAGATAAGGGCGAATTAAGCGATAGTGAAGACGATTGCGTCTTTGTAAATGAAGACGTAAAAATTGGAGAGAATGACTTGAAGAACGAAATAAATGAGGACAGAATAAAACATGAAGTGGAAGACGTCATAGACGTGGAAGACGTCATAGACCTGGAAGATGTCATAAAAGAAGACCATTTCGTTGTACTGGATGAATGTCACAGTGATGCAGATGATGATGTGCAAGAAATTCCTAAGGAGGAACCCATGTCTATCGATATTCCGAGCGGTGACGAAGAAGTTGATGTCAAGAACAGTGATTGTGTGAAAAGTGATCCATATTTAACCGAAATGAAATGTGATGAGATAGGAGTAGAGTGCAATAATAAAGAATAACTACTTTGATCTGAATAATCACATTTCCTTACATGCTGCGTGTTTATTACATATATACAAAAGTTAACAAAGGAGTACCAATATTTTAAGTTCAAAACGTTTTTACGTATGTATTATTAGTGTTAATAAATTTTCGTTTCGTTTAAACGTTTTCGTTTTATTTTTCTTCTCTGCAGACAAAAATATTTTTGTACAGAGGTAAGTTGTAATTGTCAGTGTTGGTCTAATTTTATATTTCCTGCAAAATCTGAAATAGTGGGTTCCGTGTTCATTGGATTTTTAAGCCAAAATAAATACAAGGTGCGGCAGAAAGAACTCCCCAATTTGGGAAGCTACTAAAAACAGCCCACACATATTGGGTTGTTGAAGCATTCTGCTGAAACCGGGCATGTTCTTGTCCACGTCCATCGAAAAAAAAAACACCTAATTTAGGCTAGAGAAAGTTATGTAGAAGTGCACAATACCGATTATAGGTCATCGTTACAGTAGCACGATCCTCTGCACATGCTTTGTCGCTATCGTCAAATCGCCATTTCTAATGAACTCAACAGCATAAACCCAATACTCTTCCGATCAGGTTATGCTGTTTACTTCCAACGATATACAGCATGTCGCATGAACTCAACTTTCTAACGACACAGTCACTGTTCCATCCCCAGCCTATCCCTAGCTTTGGGCTGCCAAAATGGGAGAGTTCATTATGCCTCAATCTATAAAGTACCCATAGTCTTCAATGGTACCATACCAGGCAAATTTCTGTGTGGTTTCCTTGAATCAGTTACAATTGAGAAAACGCTGCGACAATATTATTCCCTTGATAATCTTTTATTCTCTTCTGTCTTCATTTCGTCCGTCTAACCTTTCTCAACTTAACCACCACTCACCCATTTCCACGATTCCTGAAAGGAGGCTGAAGAGGGCATTCCTTCCCTACTTCCGGCGTAATCCGGAGGGACTGCTCGCTCACCAGCATGAGTGGCTGTTGGGAATGAAACATCCAAAAGTTTATTTATAAGGTGGTACCATACCGAGCGGCATAGTCTAGAAGGTCAGACCATTGTTTAGCATTTGTGAGGACGCCGATTCGATTTCGAGTCTGTCTGCCTTAGGCCAAGTTTTTTGTGGTTTTCTTTGATCACTTAGGCAAATGCTGGGGCAATAATAATCCACAGATAATCTTGTAATGCCTTCTATCTTCATTTCTTCCATCTCATTTTTCTCACCCCAACCACCACCTACCCATTTCTACTATTCCTGAATGGAAGTTGAAAAGGGCATTCCTCCTTACCTTCCGGCGTAATCCGGATGGGCTGGTCATCCACCAGCATTAGTGGCTGGTTGGAATGAAACACCCAAAGGTTTTTAAGTTTGTTTATAAAGTGGTACCATACCGAGCGACATGGCCTAGAAGTTCAGACCATTGCTTAGAGTTCCGGAGAGTGCCAGTTCGATTCAGTGTCCGTCTGCTTCGGTCCAAGTTTTTCTGTGGTTTTCTTCTATCACTTAGCCATATGCTGGGGCAGTAGTAACCCACAGTTAATCTTTCAAAGCCTTCTCTCTTCTTTACGCCCGCCTCATTTTTCTCACCCCAACCACCACCTCCATTCCTATTCCTCTTGAAAGGAAGCTGAAGAAAGCATTCCCCCCTACCTTCCGGTTTAATCTGGAGGGACTGTCTGCACACCAGCATTAGTGGCTGGTAGGAATGAAATACCCAATAAGTTTTTTTGTAAAATGGTACCATCCCGAGCGGCATAACGTAGAAGTTCAGACCACTGCCTAGTATTCGGGAAAACGCCGGTTCGATTCCGGGTCCGTCCGACTTGGTCCAAGTTTTTCTGTAGTTTCCTTGGACCCCTTAGGCAAACGCTGAGGCAGCAATATTCCACAGATAATCTTTAATTCTCTTCTGTCTTCATTTCGTCCGTCTCATTTTTCTCACCCCAACCACAACCCACCCATTCCCACGATTCCTGAATGGAAGTTGAAGAGGTCATTCCTCCGTATCTTCCGACATAATCCGGGGGGTCTGCCCGCCCAACCAGCATTAGTGGCTGATGGAAATGAGAAACACTTAAGTTTTTTTTATGTATAAGCAATACCTATTTAGTAATTTTGAAAGCGCATCAACGTTTGCAAATTTGTAAGCATATATACCTAAATTTTTTTTAGCATACAAGCAAAATATTTAGTTGAAATTGTCGAAATGTGCTATTTTTAGTTATTTTTCTGAAATTATATTTATGATTATGTCTTCTTCCAAATTTTTCCCAAGGAGAAGTAGGAAGTAATCAAGTAATACTTTTAATTTACTCTAACTGGAATTATTAATATTTTATCATCCTTATTTCTTCCTTGTTGGTATCTTATGGAAAATAATATTTTTTAAGTCTTCACTTCAACTCAGTAAAGCAACGAATTCATATTGAAATCTGTTTCAATCTAAGTATCGAGTTCGTATTGATTATCGTATATTGCAGCATCCTTTTGAGTTGTTTCTGGGTTTCGTCCTCTTCGAATAGAGGTCGCATCATGTTCCTTTGTGAGCAGCTTTTAAGTGTAGGTAGTTTACGAATTAGATAAAGCACTGCCTACATGTTCTGTGAATAATTAGAAAGATGTAATGGTGAAACAACGTACTACATGTACCAAGGTTGGTGCATTACTAATTAAAATTATGTTTCCAAATATACGCAAGTAAATTTCCATTACAGATGTTTTTTGGAAAGGTCATTGGACATGTACCTACATACACCATAGATGCGCCCGTTTTATGATAAGCGTCTTTTTGAAAGTTCTTTAGCATTTTTGTGTCCATTAATTAAGTTCAACAGAGAGTCAATTACCTATTAAGTTCACACATGTACCAAAAATGGTACTTTACATAAAGAACTAATTTAGCGTATTGGCAATAAGATGTTTTAACATTTATGGCTTCTTTTCTCCGTATGAAATCATATGTAGGTATCTACATATACAAATACATAAGTATATCTACGAAAATCGAAAATGACTCCATAATTGATTAGTTTATTACCAACAAGAAAAGAAATTATATTTTGCGCATTTCTGGCTGTCCTTTGGTTGACTATTTTGACCATTAAAAAGCCATAAACGTTCCAATAAGGAAATTTTGTGTACAAACTATTAAATAGTCATTACCAGAAGTTATTTTGTCCACCTGCCAACGATGCGAAAAATATCGACAATACCAAAAGCAACCTGCGATAAGAAAAGCGTACGCAGTTGAGCATGTAATGACTGGTGCACGTTTTACCGCGTAATAATCTCGAAATCATTACGCAAATATTTACTTTTGATCTAATTCGGAATGACGGTTGTTGACCCCCAACTTTATTTACATCATGGCGTTAATAAATTACTTTAGATACAAATACATATCTACTACTAAACTCACACATGTATCCGTGTGTATACGTAGACGTATGTACATGCGCTTAAGATAAAGAGACACTGGTGACAAATTTCTGCAAACTCATTCTTTTCCGTGCAATGTTACCGTGTGCATAAAAGACTACACAACTACACGTTGTCATCTAAATATGGAAGAAATTTTCATTTCCATAGTATTCGTTAAAAAAATCATGAGAAATTAACGTATGATAGATACTAAAACTGCGACAGAACGCAACTTGTTACTATGTCGCTGCAGGACGTGAGCAAACTGTAACACCTGCTCAATTGTTAGGTATTGTGTGGTATGGAAGACGCTCGAAATACATCTTCCTCCACCCATAATGCTAACGACTGTTAGATTGGCATCTGCCCAAAAACCATTTGGATCGTTTTGTTTAAAAATTGAAGAGGGTGCACTTGCTCATTTGCTTTCATTAGAGAAGCGACTATACTACCTCCAAAACATATATCTTTAAACACTACTTACTTTAGGATGACTCTCATCGTTACCGAGCGCCATGGCCTAGAGGTTTAGACCATTGCTTAGCATTCGGGAGGACGCCGGTTCGATTCCGGGTCCGTCTGCCTTGGTCCAAGTTTTTCTGTGATTTCCTTCGATCACTTAGGCAAATGCTGAGGCAGTAATATTCCACAGATAATCTTTCATTCTCTTCTGTCTTCATTTCGTCCATCTCATCTTTCTCATCCCAACCACCAGCCACCCATTCCCACGATTCCTGAAAGCAGGATGAAGAGGGCCTTCCGCCCTACCTTCCTGCGTAGTCCGGAGGGACTGTCCGCCCACCAGCATTACTGGCTGGTGGGAATGAAACACCCAAAAGTTTTTTTTCTCATCGTCAGTTCTCTGTACACACGCAAAAGCCTGCATTCCCATTCATTTCTTTACATTTTTTTAATTTTTGTGTCGGTTTTTTATTTGTTTCTCTAATTTACTGTGGTGAATTGCAACTAACTAATGTTACAGGGAAGCACTAACGACGATTTAATGACTAAGTCCTAATTTTTGTTTCCAGAAACTAAAAAATTGGGTTTTAACAACTTAAATTAGAGGAACGGTATTAGACCTCAGGCTTTGGTTGTAGGCTGATTGTTTCTGATGGAGGTGCTTCGCACACCGATGCACGTGATCCATCACGTCGCTGAAGTGAATGTTATCGTATGAAGTCAGCGTTGACAAATCCTTCTGAAATATACAAATTATTGTGCTATTTAAATAGTAACTCTACTATCGACGCTATTAGAAGGGCAGTTTTTAAACTGGCAAAAAAGATGAAATACAATCTGAAACGCAAAACCCAGCGACATTCGTGCCATATTGTCGGAAAGGCTGGTAACTGATTAACACAAGAATATCAATTGGAGAACTGTGGAACTTTGTCTAATACAACGTCCACTGGTCTCTAACTGAGGGTGTCGAAAAGCGTCTTAGGTCTTTAAAGGCTTTGTAGAATTTCGGTTGTGTATCTTTTATTAACTCATTAATATTTCAATATGAAGATTCATCCAGGAAAATGAATCCTGCGTGCAACAGTTTTTCTTTTATATTAATTATACCTTAAATGTTCAACATTTGTAAAACCACCTTGGTGATAAAAGGTCTAATCTAAAAGTAGATTTAATGTTTATCTTTTTTTTTGAATTACCGACAAGGTCTCAATACGATTCCTTGAACTTTACGAAATCTTTGTGTTTGTGAATGACTGTTTCAGCAGCCCGATATCGCGAAACAGGTAAATACAAACTTTTTATCGGACAGTAGTCCTATAAAATTTTTGAATGTTCTTCCTTGTCGCGTTTATAAATTTTCACGTATTTGACGGCCTGTCAGTCCACAAATATATGTAAATCGTAAATCAGTGGCAGTATAGTAAGATATAGGTACCTGTCACGTTATTTTGAGCAAACAGTGACGCTTAATGGGAACACAAAAAATGAAAAGAGCATAAATATTTGTAGACTTGTTAGGAGTGATCCGTTTTGTGAAAAAGCGTTTATGAATGTTTTATCTTGATGAGAAAGCAGTCATCATTATTTGTTAAAGGATTTAAGTTCACTAACCATAGAAATTTACCACTACGTAACTTTACCGCTTACGAATTATTAAATTGTATTTACCAAAAAATGCAACCAATGAATAAGCAAGTTATAATTTCCACATTGTCATCTGTCGAAAAAGCGTCGATCGTCAGGTTGAATTAAACTTGTATAAATGTTCGACTTATAAATCGAGTGGCTTTGTTACACTAATTTTGTCATTAACCTAAAAAAGAGCGGCACTGGTGCACTATTTCCATCATTTTAACTTGATAATATAAAATTATCAAAAAAGTCGCCGCCATGCAGGTCACATCATCGGTGGGTTAAATCCATCACTTGTGAGTTATCGAAAAGTAATTTGTCTAAAAAGATGTCTAGCCGGCAGTCAATTAATAATGATTACAACTAAATAATGACCAAAAATGTTGAAGGTCGCGGTTAATTAAGTGGGTAATAAGGTACCAACAGACAGACAGAAACTTTTGTTACAAATTCTATATAAAAGATGTTGGAAGCCTTCAATTGAACTATCTGTACAATACATACGTATGTTGCTCATTAGGAAAATTTACTTAATTATTACATACCTTACGTTAATAATGATACTGTCCATCCAGAAAAGGAACAATGGTCATATAATTGTGGATGTCGAATAAAACTGACGAACGATGCAATTGGAATTGGAAATATTGAGAACGGATTGTTTATATGATCAGTTTCAATATTTTGTTTGCTTTTTTTTTTTAATTCAGTAGCTCTCATTTAAAAGTAATGTATTTATTGGTGTTTTTAATCAGTAAAATTGATATCCTTTGTAAATAGGCTTTCGTGTAGGCGATTTTGAAGATTAAGCAATCTTTCGGTTAATCATTTGGAGACTGTGGAAAGGATTTCATGAAAGGAATTGGAATTTTTATAGATGACATAAACGATACAATAATAAGCTTGATGTTAACGCATTTTTATATTTTTCGTTGCCAAAGTTTACATTTTAATAAAGGTTGCTTCATTCTGTGCGATTCTGTTTTCTTGACTTAATTTTCGTTAAGTGTTCCCAATTAGACACATACCCTATTTTCTCTTATTCAGTGCATCAAAATTGAACTAATTTACAAATTGAACAATTATGGAATATCATTGTTTAATGTGTATACTTGTATTAAACATTTTGAATTTCTAATTTAATTACTGTATTTAATTTTACACTAAAGGCAAGTGAATTACATTAAGATGATGTCGATGACGTTACATGCTTGAAAGTATAAAGGTTAATTTACAGTTAAAGTTCAATGTTCACCATCCTCCCTTTTAATTGCATAATACATTCCAATAAAAAAAACTATGTAAATTATAATCTAGTGACTGAGATGTTACGCCAATAATAAATTTCCTCGTTCTTGTTCTGAATCGGCAACGACCAAACAGCAGCGGCATCGCGTCATAGGGTCAACGCCATTTCGAATCAGCTAGAATTAATAAACAAATCTTGACGCGGGGTTCGACGACATTTAAATATTATCATTTATTCCTCTGTTCCAATTGTTTTTTCGCGCGCGCTTCTTCATCCAATTATCCATAATCACGAATTCGCAAGAGAAGACCGATCAGCGGACTGAGTGACATCATTGGAAAAATGCTTCGTTGCCAATTCGATTTGGATTTTCTATTAAATCTACAAACCATCATCACGGGATTGCTCTTATTAGATATGTTTAAGAGCAATGGCCCAAAATATTCAAATAGGTACTTATTTGTGGAAATTCTGGAAAAGAATTGCATTATTTTCTAAATCTCAAAACGTCTCCTTGAAATAAGTTAAAGGGGTGATTGATAAAAAGTAACTCTATCCAGATAGAAGGAAGAAGTTCACCACTCGTGCTATCGAAACTATAATTGACTACGGCTTTTAGATCCGAATTAGGACAGCATCAACGCAACTAGATCTCTGATGGACGTCTCAAGATGCTCGATTAGACGAAAATCAAATGTCAAGGATTGCGTTATCCTTTTTTGCGTCCATATTTCCATATCAAGAGTAAAGGCCTTCCTCTGGAATGCCATTAATACAGCAAAGTTTATGATCAATGAAAACACGTCTTCATTGTCTGTTCACGTCTAATTTTACCATATTCCCGTTATTTTACGTTCAGAAAGTTTGGTGTAGTGAATATTTGATGACATTGGTCATACTTATCATGATGATGCTTCATAAGTGTTGATAACAGCCCCTAACGCTGTGGGTGAACGTTGATGGTGATGATGAGGATGATGAAGACGTTGACGGTAAAAGTTGATATGATTTTCTCACAAACATCTTATGTTTTTTACCACAATTGGTTACAAATACCAGGTCATATGTACGCATATCCATAACATGGGGCTTACTCCAAATTTTTGACGGCGTCACTGATTATGAACGATGGTGGTGACAAAAATGATACCGATGGAAGGATGAGAATGGAGAAGATGTCCTTCGTCACATAGGTTCCTACCCATAAGGAATAAGATGTTAAAGAATAATTTTAACCGTTTGCTTGGCAATGCTGTTGAAATGGCGCGCACTTCGTCTGAGCAAATATTCGACAAACGACAGCGTGCAGTCGCATAGCAAACTTGATACCACTCGATCGGCGTTACGTCGCTTTTAAGCAGCGCTACTAACTTGATCACTCGCGTGAACAACTTGCCCAACTCTTTCAGTCTCGATCCGTGTCTCGAAGGGTGAAGACGTATCGGTTTCCACGATTCCTTCAATCACACGTGTAGATAGTATACCCTACTCTAAAGCGGTTGTGTAAACAGATTTAGGTATTTAGTTGCAATGTTGTCAGCGGGATTTGCAAAACGGACGCGATTGGTTTAGACATTGCACCCCGTTTCTTCCCTGAACGCGCCGTCCCCAGGGTTGCCGAGCGTTATAAGTTCAGTTCAGTGATTGTTGCCATGATTATTTCAAAAGATCTGTTTCTGCTGGGAGACCAAGACTACTTGCGACTCCCGAATAAGGACGAAAAGCGGCCGACTATGATAAGACCCGTTGTTAAACCTCAGAGGTAAGTCGTCCGTCAGATGTTTCGTTAATTCTGCCAGTCTGGGCATTCTGGTTAAACGAAGTCAGGTGTTATTTTGACCGCTGTAACAAGGTCAGCGTTGCCAACTCTTTCGGTACAGGTCATTATATTGAGGTTTGAAGATGGTCAAAGAACCGTTAAACCCATTAACATAACATTATTCACAGTTATTTGCAATAGTTAATGAACTATTAATAAACGTTATGCGTTCTTTACGAAAACTCCCAAAACATTCGCAATTTTTTACTTCTTTCTGTTCTTAAGTATCTCATTGTCAAGAAATTTTTCTTCCACCTAGGACCTATAGGTATCATCATCATCATAAGCCGTCAGTCCTAAGACTGGTTGAACACGTACCTCCACTCTTTCCTATCCTGAGCTAAACTTCGCATTTCCCTAAAACTAGAACAACCCACATCTTTAACTATTTGCGTACAGTTTCGAAATTCTGGAAAAATGAATTCCTGGAAATATCACCTCCAAGTGTGATAATTTGAATTGTGAAATAATGAAACTGGCATGTCTTTAAACCTTCCTCCAATTATTCAATGCTTTGTCTAGGGAACAAACAAATTCCTTTGATACTTACCTACTTATATGCGTAGGAATGGACATATAGTAGTAAACGTAAAACAATGACAGAAGTAATTACACTATCTTAAATTTAACGGCTCGTTAATCTGTTAGATTACTATTTTGAAATAAGTTCTCCAATTGTTAGAAACTGCCTCGTTAGAAACAAGTACCTATGTAATAGTAATTATCGGAATGGACAGTTAATATCAAATGAAATCACGTTCGCTGATTATTTATTAATGCCTTAATCCCGGAAGTCAGTTTAAAGTTTACCATCCAGATTGTCTTATCTAACCTTAATGCTATTCATTTCGATTTGAATCATAAAAACCAAAAGGTTTCTTCTTCGGCGCTCTTCTATTCATTAATGCTTTAAAGAGGGTGTTTGTCATTCTGGAGTGATATTGAGAAATATTCTTACAGTGTATGACCAAAAGTTATATCCTTTTATCTATCTTGGTCATCCAATACAAATTAAACTCAATACTTCAGATCCATTTCCTTCCAATTTCAGTAACAAATACGTCTTGTAACAATTTCTGTGATTAGGCCATAAGAAAGACCTGCTGCTATGTATGTATTTCCTTTATTCAACGCATGAATGCTTGTTCTTTTTCAAATCCAAACATCTTCGATGTGTAACTTTCAGTTACACCATGTAATATATTGTTTTGTCAAGAATTGTGAAGAACTGGATATTTTAGACTAGACATGACATAACGTTTTTTTGTTTCTCTAGTAATTGTCCTCATTCAAAACTCATGTTACTAGACACGCAACTGACAACTTAAATACGAGGAGACGTTTATGTATTTTAATAATCCTCAAATACGTAGAATGATTCCTGGAAAAAGCTACTAATTATCAGCATGATGACACCGCAGGAGATGTGAGTACGTATCGTTTCTCAAAAAGGTTCTCCGACAATAATGTTACGCATGATGAGTTGTGACCCACCAAATCATTCACAAACGAAACATTAACTTCCACTTGAATAACTAAAATTGGAGTTGTATTGAACGCTGTTACTACGCGAACTAAATTACGTAAGGAATGAGAAGAAAGACTAGACATGCAAATATTTGACCTCGTCCAGAGTTTTTGTCGCATCCAGTGGTGAAGTAAAGATCGGCATTATGCAAAAAAATGTATCTACGACTTTATTTTTTCTTTTACGATAAAAGAAGCCGCTGTTTGCCATGTACCAACATAGATTGACAGTACAATGAAACATACTTACTAGGTACTTCAAATTAGGGATGAGAAGTAGAATCGGCTTCAACATATAATCATGTACGTATGCTGTTGGATATTTTATTTGCAATGAGAGACTTCAATGGTGTTTAGTAAGTTTATTAGATAATAGTATTGACAAAGTTATTTGTATAGATGGGCCGTTTCCTCAGCTTCAGTCTTGCGAGATAATCCAGCCTATGTTTCATTCAATGTTCTTGTCTTAAACTCTAATAGATATTCCTCCTGTCTCTTACTCTTCTTGTAAAAGCTCCCTGCTGTATGTAAAGAGATGTCGGTCCGTGTTTTATGATGCTCATTGACTTGAGATTCCTCTGTCCTGGAATATGATTTCTCAGATGTTGAGTCTTTGACTTGAGCTACACTACAGGCATCAGCAAATATCCTTATCAGTAAGGATCTAAACATACAACATTTTCTCTGAAACGTCAAATCTTTGCAAGGCCATGACGCACTGCTTCTTTTGGTTTTAGACCTTTTAGTGGAATAGTATTCAGGAACTTCTTCAGAAATGTATTTGTCAATTCTCATGACTCCACGTTATATGATGGATTTCATCCAAAGGATATTAATGATACTTTCTCAACAACTATAAGCACTAACAATCTCCTGATGCAGCTATTTCCTAACTGAATGACTTGATGATGTCAAGACTGATAATGATCGAAAATTAACTAATAAAGCATGCTGAAAATTCTCCTGAGGTATTGTGTCTCTCATGCTCCAGGGTTCCAGATGAAGAATAGTTTGCACCACCTGGTGAAATTTTTTGTTATGCTAAGTAATAACACATGTTGAAACAAAAGCAGTGTGTGATTATTGATTTGCAGTCCTCTTATTGAAATCGTTATTATTTACATGTGTAAAGCCTTCCTGATAACAATTTTGAAATGTTCATTGCTCACTGTTCGTCAGGACATTGGTCGAATTTCGAGTTTTGCTACCTTCGTCCAAGTTTTCTGTGGTTGTCTTAGACCGTGTATGAAACTAATCGAGCAGTAATATTTCACCGTCCTACCATGAACCACCCACTTCCATGCACCATTTCTAAAAGGCGGCTGTTGTCTGTTCTGCAGTGCCTACCATTTTGTGTTTCAATGTGGGTTTATAGGATAACCCGTAGCAAGAGGGAATACAATTAAGATTTTTTTTATTGTCTCATCAGTAACATCTTTGTGACCAATCATAAAGATGATGGCATTAAAATAATCGCGTAACCATCAGCCTCGCACTTTCAATTAAAGATATGATTATTGATCCCTATTGACTGAGAAGGAAATCCGTTTACCTATTCTTGGGATAGTACTATTCCACTGTATGTAGTAGTAATCACTTCCGGTCACAAGATTTATATTTAATAACAGCAACGCATTGGTGCTCATTAATTTCCGATTTGAATTCTTCTTGGATGTCTTCTTTGTTTTCTAATGTTCTCTGTAAGTTTCTATTGTTCAGTGACAACCAGAATATCACAATGCATGCGCTTTCTAGAAAATCACCTTGCTGATAAATGCTTTGCACTAAGCATAATTATTAAGTTACCCTTTATACTGTGTACTTACGATCTCATATAAGTAAGTCGCGGCCGGATGTTGTGCACGTTCGTGTACGCTATTGTTCAGTTCCAGCGCTTATTACTCGACCTAAACGACTACCTTCTCGGAACATGTAAGTAAGTTATGCTAAATCGCTTTATCCAATAAGCGCCGGCCTTTCAACAAAATGTAATGGCATTAAAAGTGTTTAACATTTAAATGTCGCTTCGGTTCACAGAAAAGCAAACAACGTAGTACTTCATTTATATTCGTAAAAGGAACTACATCCAGCGAATTTTAGATATATCCCAATACATCCATTGAAAGAATAATTGTTTCCCTTAGCTGGATTTCTACTTAACCCTTCTAATACTGAGCGCATTTTATGTAATGCACTACACATTCAAAGGCGTCTGTTGGCAGTTCTTTCCATTAGTTTACTTCAAGAATTAGGATCTGTTTAGTAATTCCGGAGCGCAGGAACTTCAATGATAAAATTTCTTTCATACCTAATTTGTGAAGCTACTTCCACCTTGTGTTCTTGAATGGCTGTCTTGATGGAGCCAGCTGTTGCGTTCTTTTCCGTCAATCTACAATGAAATTTACAAAACAGAAATCCAGGCAAAGAGGATTGCTACATACGTATGTTTGAGACCGAAATATTCAGATGGGCTTTCTCACTCTCCTGCAAAGCTCTCGTGGAGATGCTTGAGTTTCCCTTACGATTAAAGAGTCCCTGCCTAATAAAGCCTCCCTTTTATAAAAATTTAAGAGAGAATATCCCTATATTTCCACTTCCATTGACTTTTTATGCTGATGCTTGAGTTTCTTGTACAAGGAGAGGGAACCTTCCCAAAATCTGCCTGCCACAAAAACTTCAGGGGAGGAAGTCCTTATAGCTCCTCACTTACAGTCCAGCAACTTGAACCATGTTGTTTCAAAAGGCTTCAGAATTTTATTGTTATTGAGAAGTAGGTCATCTAAAAAGAGTCTGTTATCGACTGTGGAACATTAAGTTTGCCTGGTTTATGGTATTAACAATAGCTCCTCTCCAAATATTTGGGTGAGTGAACTAAATTTTTCATAGGCCAACCGATCTATACTTGTTTCCTATGGTAGAATAGAAAAATGCTGGCAGTTAATGAAGTTCAGCTAATAGCAAATTAGCTTTCAAGTTCAGTGTACTGAGAAATTTACAAAGCAAACGCTCTACCTCCATCCGCACACTTTCATCTGATACTTTGAAGGTCAACTTTGGGAATAAAAACAGCGCGAACATCAGCTTCAAATTGGTTAATGTTTTGAACCGGCCAATTTTATGATTTTGGCTTGTATGGGCATTGTTTAGGCTGAAGTTTTGTTTATTGTTTGCCCGTCGGTCGTTTGTTGGATACACACGTATGTATTGGTGCGACGCGGCGTGTGCACGTTAACGTTTATTTGCTGTTCAGGTGTCATCGGCCCGCTGTGTGGGTATTTCTGACCATCGGAGCAGTAAGTATTAGCTGCCTGGCTGACTTCGTCTTCTGTCTGCCGTCGTTTTGGCAATAAATTAGCCCGTGATAGTGGCAACAGTAGCAAATCCACGAGATTCCGCTCAGAACGCTCTGCAAATTC